GTGATCGGACAGAGCCGACAGCCCAGTATGGCAGACAGATCCAACCTGCCCTACACTGAAGCCGTCATCCACGAGATCCAGAGGATGGGAAACATTATTCCTCTAAATGGACTCAGAATGGCCACCAAGGATACAACACTGGGCGACTATATTATACCGAAGGTGGATTTAGTAGGCCTACGTATTTTAAGCCTTAACAGGATGTCTCTAAAAAAGAGAGGTTATTTTTACAGACTCAAGTTTACAAGTCACTTACTAAAGAAAGTCAGATTTTCAAGTCACTTAAGTCACCAAGTCCGTTACCCAGAGCTTGGTTTAATCCTGCAGCTAACTCCCGGTTTAGCAATCAGCTCATTTAAATAGCATAAAGTAATTTAATTGCTTAGCTTTACTAGACTTATTACTTACTTATTACTTATTACTAGACTGGTTTCAACTTTCAGCCACTCCTGTCCCCTGCTGAAGTAGTGTGTACTCAGTTATTTTATGTCAGGAGGGCGAGTACTGGGTCAAAACATTTAAAGTGGTTTCTTTTCACACAACTTAAATTTAATACGGTAATAAACTTTATACAATGTTCGGAAACAACATGTGTGATAATTTCTTGGTGTTAGCTTATGAATCTTGTTTTTTTAGGGTACGTCCTTGATGCCTAACCTGACCTCTGTGCTGTTCGACAAGACTGAATGGGAGACCCCAGACACCTTCAACCCCGGACACTTCCTGGATGCTGAGGGAAAGTTTGTGAAGAGAGAAGCTCTCATGCCTTTTTCTGCAGGTAAACATCATTCGACTTTTTTCAGCCTATATTGAAAGTATGAACAGCGCTTGCCTCACGATGTGCTGTTGGAGATTATTCCAGAAAAGTCGAGCAAAAGGTGCCATCAACAAAAGAGTTATCGTTTAATCGAGGAAAGCATGTTGATGGGATTAAGGGAATGTAAAGGCCGTGACAGTGTACGTACAGGGTAATAAGGCCGTAAATGTGAGAGTGCCAGTCCATAAAACCGAGGATTTTAAACACATCAGTACCACGTTCAGTTGAAATGCATGTGCAAGAATTTCAGCATCTAATTTTGTTCAAATTAGATGTATTATGGTTGGAGCTCTTACATTTTGTTGATCGTATACGTTTGTACACTCTTCAGGGAAACGTGTATGTCTCGGAGAAGGCCTCGCCAAAATGGAGCTGTTCTTGTTTTTGATCGGATTACTGCAGAAGTTCTCTTTCTCCGTTCCTGATGGAGTAGAGCTGAGTACAGAAGGAGTTACTGGAATAACTCGAGTACCACATCCCTTCAAAGTTTATGCCAAGGCACGCTGAATTATACAACATCTCACTGAATAATTTTTCATCTGACAAAAGAGTTCTCTGCCTATACATTTCCTTCCTTGTGATAAAATAGTTGTCATAATATATTGTTGTATTAATGGCATTCTTTATAGGACAGTATCTAGTGTCCTTGTTATTAATGAAAATATGTATAAAGATTTTCTCAAAATACAATCTTCTATTACATTCAAGCTGTATTGTCTATGTCTTCTTTATCATCATCAGTTATGTAATGTATTAGCCATTATTTAAGAACTGCAATCATTAACAAAACCTTTGGAAACATGTGTTAATGATTAATAAAGGATTTGATGATATGTGTCACAAACCTGGTTTAATAATTTTTGTCAACATAACATACACTCATGGGTACTTTTTACTTTGGTCAAATGAAAAAAGGGGCAAACTTTACCAGACAGGGAACAGACGAAGAATCATCAAACCAAATAACAAATAGTTCAGGAAAAAAGAAAGCTAGGGCAGATTCCAAGAACAAGCCTGCCTTACCAGGCATGTCTGATGTCTATTGTGCTAGATTTTTTAAATTATCTATATAATGTCCATTTTTGGGGTGGTTAAACGTTTGGGTCTTACAAAATTAGGTATATTGCAAACTAACAACAAACGTACTCAGTATTTGTTAAATGAACACGCATCCCCTCTCTGTGTCGCACCGATAGGTCATTACATCTACATAAGCTGTGACTCAGCAGAGTACCAGCCCATCTCTAACTAGGATTTGATGATGGAGCAAGTCATCCTCATCAGTCCCTTGCTATTCTCCTTCGCTTCACAATGTGTCTGCGTGATTTGTTTCTGTGGCTCGATCTGACGGAAATGCTGATTTTTGTTTTTGCGATTCTCCTCGTTGTCTATTTTCTGGACAAAAAAGATCCACCTAACTTTCCACCAGGACCACCATCCCTGCCTCTTCTAGGAAACATATTCAACATTGAGTCTAAACAGCCTCACATTTACTTAACCAAGGTAAGATGACAGAAACTCATTTCGTATTGTGCTGTAGTGTTTTTGCGATAACCTGAGCATAACTGAAAGCTGGAAGGTAGATGTTCTCTGTTATTTACTACACTACTTGTGCATGCAGTAGAGTCACATCCTTTAACAAGGGATATCTAAAAAATGACATGGGACTGAAACAGATCATGAAAACGTTTATGGTAGAAAATAATGTAAAAACATGCTGATAGTCAGAAATGATTGTCCTGAAAAATGCATCTCATCAGAGTCACATGCCAGACAACAGGCCACTTATTGTCTGCCCCTGCATCCACAGCTAGCTGATGTGTATGGGAATGTGTTCTGCATACGTCTGGGAAGACACAAAACAGTGTTTGTGTGCGGGTGGAAGATGGTGAAGGAAGCCATAGTCACACAAGCTGACAACTTTGTGGACCGGCCTTACAGCCCGATGGTGACCAGAATTTATTCAGGAAACTCAGGTGAATCACACAAACATACAGTACATTGGGCCTTCACCATAGTTGTAAGATATGGTCATGACCTTGTTGACTTTTTGTTGAAATAGATATTGGCTGTTCTGTTTGCATGTTTGTTTACTTCACCAATTTAGCTATGATTCAAGAATAAATTGCTATTTTTACTCTAACATTATAAGACTTGGCGAAAGCCGTATTTACAGCTCTTGGAAAGGATGTAATTGCATTTTTATTATTTGTATTATCATTATAATAGATGCATAACGTGGTCTTAAAATAAAAATAATTTTTCGTTTTTTCTCTTTTTATATATATTCAGTGCAAACCATTGTCTTATTTGTATATACTTATACTTTGCTTTTCATTGCAATGATAGCATATTGTCATTTTGTATCCACTTCGTTAAGTTGTAGTGTAACACCTTGGTTATGCATTGTGAAAACTTAATAAAAAGTGTTTCGATCAGAATAAAAGTTATCGTGACAGTCCTAAAGCACATCACTATTTAAAGAGTCAACCTGTGTCCTGATGCCTACCTCTGTACTGATGTGTGGTTTCTCTCTGTCTCAGCGGGTCTTTTCTTCAGTAATGGGAGAGTGTGGAGGAGACAGCGGCGTTTTGCCATGACCATGCTACGTACCTTTGGTCTGGCCAAGAGCTCCATGGAGCGGAGCATCTGTGAGGAGAGTCATCATCTGCAGGAGGCCATGCAGAAGGAGAAAGGTTGGGAAAATCAACAAAAGCGAATGCATTTTTTTTAACAGAATGAGAAGCAAAATAAAGAAACTGACTTTGTCCTGCTCAGGTGAGCCATTCGACCCCGTGCCCCTCTTAAACAACGCTGTGGCCAACATCATCTGCCAGATAGTGTTTGGGAGACGGTATGAATACGGCGACCACAACTTCCAGAGCATGCTGAAGAGTCTGACTGAGATGGCCTATTTGGAGGGATCCATATGGGCTCTAGTAAGATGCAAACCAGCTCAGACACATTTTACAACCTCACACAGCTTTTCATAACATGCATCAGAACCAGTGTGTCGGGGAAACACAAGAAAAGACACTTTATTTATTATTTTATGTAATTACTTGTAGGGATCATTTTAGATGCCTTTTTCCTTTCTTGTGCCAATCCCAATCTGATACTGTTTTTTCTCTTTCTTAACAATTTAGCTGTTGATAATAAATGTGTACGGATGCACTTTGCAATTGTTAGCCATCAAAAACATCATAACCTAATATTCTCCTATAGAAATAAATAAATAGCCCACATCAGGAATCAGTAGTGCTACTTCTGCTACTTTTCATTAGAACTGTTTCAAACACACTTTGAGCAACATTTTAAAGCATTGACGCATTCAAAATGACATTTAAAATGCAATTTTTAGCAAACAATGTAATCTGATTATTTGGAATAACAAAATGATTATAATCCCAGTGTAAAATACAGGATTTAACACTCAATATGAACATATAATTTAGTTTATAAAAATAGACTGAAAATATATATTTGTTGTCCTTGTTTGTTGATTTAGTGATAATTGCCAGTATTGAACTGGTAATGATATTAAAATCAGCACATTACTCATTTATATACATTTTTATATTTGTGGATAAAGTAATCTGTAATGTATTTAAAACAATTAAAATGTGTCATTCTGGCCATTGAAAGTCTGTCAGAAAATATTATGATCATAACTTAGGTCTTTGCTTGCCCATATAAACAACCACTGAATATTCCCGTCTCCTCTCCGACAGCTTTATGATGCGTTCCCAGCTCTGATGAAACTCCTGCCGGGGCCTCACTGTGGCATCTTCAGCAGCTCCAGGTCTTTGGAGGCATCTATCAGAGGAGAGATAGAGAGGCACAAGTTGGACCTGGACCCCAGCAACCCGCGAGATTACATCGACAGCTTCCTCATAGAAGAGAAAGTATGGTGTTTGTAGTGTTGCCGATCAACCAACGTGAACAGCATGACAAAATAAAAACTAACTGACCATATGTTTGTTCCTAAGCACAACAGAAACAGTGAACTGCGCTTTGACGATGACAACCTGGTTCTGTGTTGTCTGGATCTGTTCCTGGCTGGTAGTGAGACCACTTCAAAGACCCTGCAGTGGGGCCTCATCTACCTCATCAACAACGCTCAAATCCAGGGTGGGTGTTCACATCAGCAGCAGAACAAGTATAAAAGTAACCAGAGAAGATCAAGTTTAAAACCTTTTTATTTGACCTCCTAGATAAAGTCCATGCCGAGATAGACAGAGTGATCGGACAGAGCCGACAGCCCAGTATGGCAGACAGACCCAACCTGCCCTACACTGACGCCGTCATCCACGAGATCCAGAGGATGGGAAACATTGTTCCTTTAAATGGACTCCGAATGGCTGCCAAGGATACAACACTGGGTGATTTCGTCATACCCAAGGTGCGTTTACTTATAGCGTGCAGCAACTTAGGAGTCACAATAGAAGGCTTTGTTTATTTTGCAGGGCCGTGGGAAGTAGGGGTGCTGAGGGTGCTGCAGCACCCCCTGGTGGATGACAGGGGATCTGCACTTCTACAAGATATAATACTAATATAATACCAAAAAAAAGAATTCTCAGCCTTGATGTAACAACATTCATAATTAAGTAAAGATAACACCCTTTTCACCCCGGTTACATTTTTCAATTGCCCAGTACAATGGGCGCTTTAGTGATGAAAGTGGGGGATGTTGGCTTATCAGGCGCCCGCAGCTCACAGCCAAAGTGAAAGACATAGAGAGAGGGGGTGTACCGGTACCGGCAGGGATTGTTATTAGCTGTGAGGGGTGAGGGAGGCGCTCTGTGAGTTGTTGTTGTTACGGAAACAGAGGGGTTTTAGGTTGCCATAAGGCTGTTGACGGTCTTATTATAGGCTACTTCCATTGGTTGGTTTTGTGGCACATTTGTAACACTGTGCCAACTTGGGCAAGCACGCAGGCAAACTTGAGGAGCGCACACAGGGTGGAGTGAGGTTGAGCGATGGAGAGAAAGGGAGAGAGAGAGAGAGACAGAGCGTGTGCAGCGGTCTGCTTGCCCACAGAGCAGGACTTTGTGAGAGAGCCGGCTTGAGAGTCAATTTCTCTTCAAAATATAATTGATTGCCAGCCTCCCTTGTCCCTGGCTGGCTTGCTAGCTCGTTGGTAACGTAACTGATTTCTTCTAATGTGCCTGCATCTGGCGCTGAGTTGCCATATTCCTTTCATGAACCACTTCCTGATATCCATTGTTGCAGATAAATATAAATGATAATAGCCAAACTAACCTAGCAAGAGTAAACTGACAGGCTGCTGTGCCGCATCTCACTCAAAAACCCACACGACTCAACCCATCGAAAAACCAGTCTCGCGCGCAGCCTTTCATTCAGAATTTCATTCAGAAATTCATAGCAAAATAAAAAAATTACATAAAACTAATCTCTCAACATAGTTTAAAACAAAAATAAATATTAGGACAAAGCCCTACAAATAACAACAATAAACATAATAATAAAACAATTAAAATGTTGTATTCAGCCCTGATTAAAACAGCGGGCCCAAATCCTGGATGGGCGGGCCCGGCCCCATGGGGCCCGCCCATGACGCCGGGTCTGCTTCCCAGAGAGGCCACGTGGTCACGCCAGCCACTGCAAGGTCCGTATCACAGGCAGGAGAGACGGTAGAAACAGACGACAACAAGTGGATCGTGCCAAGTCACCACCACACCACACTGCGCACCACATACACCTAATCTCACACTGCAACACACAGGATGGTCACGAGTGAGCCCAGCACTAAGCTCGCTTCCATATTGCTTCTGGTTCCTCGTTTGTGCTGTCATTGTGTGGGGCCCCATTGAACTTGTCACACAAGCAACAAGTGAATCTACACATCTATCCTACAGATGGACTCTCCGCCTGTGTGAGGGCTCCTCGGAAAACGACAACGCAACCATGAGCGAATTATTGAAGAGGTCTACGAATATCCATAACAACTGTCGAACAGATGCTATCCTGGCCTTTCGTTTAGAGGTGTCATCCAGGGAGGAACCAACTCCGTCATCGCGCGCGCCGCGCGTCAAGGCTTTACATCAGATAGCAACATGGATTCTAGGAGTCTACAATGGAACAACAGATGGCCCCCCGCTCCTGCCAAGTACCAGGCAGAGTGGGGGTGTGCACACAAATCTATGAATCTGACTCTTTTACTCTTAGCTGACCTATGTGATAACGAGAACATTCCCAGTAGTACTATGTTTTCCGGTGTTCTCCCACACCCAAAGGTTCATCAAAAGTCATCCTTGGTTACACATACTGAAGAACTTTTTCATGATATTTGATGCTTGGAGTTTTTTACGTATGTTAATTATGTATGTGTTTTTACGATTTTATCTGTTGCTGTTTTGATAATTTGCGTTTTGAAAAAGTGGGTGGGGGGGGGGGTTGAGAT